CAACACATGGCCAAACCATCGCAGCTGTGACTTCTAAGCCTGGAAAAGGCTCTCGCGGATGTCTATATTCCGGACCGTGTCGAGACGTGTGATTCGTCTAAGAAAGCCCCTTTCAGCAGCTTGTACCCGGGTTCGAAGTTTTTCAGTGATTGTCCACGACTCATGACCGTAGGTAAACATGGAGATAAAGATCGACTTGAACACCGAGAGCTTATTCTTCAGAGACAACTCTGCTTTAGTCACAGTGGTTCCTGCTTTTCACCCAAGATGCTGCAGGCGACTTCACTCCGCCGGTCGATCTCTTCGTCAAATTTTTTATCACCAGTAAATACGATCCCTGGGTACTTGAAATTCTCCGTCTGCTCCACTGCTTCTCCGTTAATTTAATGATAGCAACGGGCAGGAGAACGAGAAAGCATTAGGCTTTTCCTTTTAGATACGTTCACACGCATGCCGGCCACGTCACACTCGGTTGCGAACCTCTCCAACGAGCGCTGTAGTTCAGTTTTGGAAGATACCAACCAAAGGTCCTTGCTGCTTTTGTGTTTTTATCTTGTTTCTTATATTATTTTAAGTTACAGTTTTGGTTATACTGTTTGCTTGTTGAGATATATTCTGAGTATATATTTAACAGTCTCGTAACGTGCTGGTTGATGATTTTTAGCATCTGGATCAGAACAGGAAAAAAAGGTGGCTCTAGAGAACAAAAGGTCCGAAGAAAAGAGTGAATCTTGTAGCCCGGTGACTCAGAACAATGGTGTTAACTGCAGCGGAAACGAGAAGGACAAACAGGTGACAAGGAAAGCGACGAAGAAGTACAGAAGACGTTTCTGCAACGATTTTTCTCACGACGGCGACAGCAGCGACAAAGCAGAGAAGCCGCACAATGCCGGCACAGGGTGTCATCGAAAGAGGAAAAAACAAAAGGCAGACGAAGAATCGCGAGGTGTGAGGTTCGACATGCCAATCGATCCAAACGAACCCACCTACTGCCTTTGTGAACAGGTTTGTCGATTGCATCTTATACTTTGCAATTTTAGTTAAGACGGGGTAAACAATATCTTTCTCTGGGATTTGGATCAGTAAGTCTACCCAGGCAGTAATTTGAAGTGCGATAAAGGATCCAAGTATTTGATATTACCTGAAGGTTTGGTTTGACTGACGGGCAAACATGTAGTGGAAATAAGTGAAGTTTGAGTATAATGTGGATATAAATTTGCGTTAGTCGTAAGCTGCTTTTTCAGTGTTAATGATAACGTCGTTCATCTGGTAACTCGTTATGGCCATGACCTTTCATTCGTGACACCACTCGATATACTCATTAATTCGACCTCCCGTCATGGATTTTGTCACTTTATGCCAGTGCATTCGGGGTAAATATGTCAGCGTATGACTATAGTGATGGTTGTTGGAACAGGTATACAGCTTAAGCAGCGTTCTCACAATGACGTATTTCAGCACGCGGATTTAGCAATTTTTCATGGCACTCTCATGTTACGAAACACCTTCTATAGTAGCGCTCATCCACTGCGTGTTTTGACCATGTCTGTCAGGAAAAGACTGACCACTTACCGTAGATTCACGTTCTTAAGTAAGTTGGACACAAGGACCTGTGTTGAAGGTGCATGGACCCAGCCTTCCCATGCATTCTTCAAACTACAGGGGATTAGCAGCACTTCTTCAAAGTGCTGAGTGTGACACAGTTCCCTTTCTACTTTTTTTGACAACTTTTTTGCATTACTGTATTGGCTCCATCTATAGATCGTTGTATACCATTCTTTTCGCTAGTGGTGCAGCTACTGCTTGATTTAACATGTATATTGTTTAGAGTTTCTTGCTTATTTTTCGCTTTCTTCATCTTCATCATCCATAACCGCTTCTTTTCGTGTCGCAGAGGCAGACGCGTCAGACAGAATTTCTAACGTTCCCGATCCTATGCCATAGTCTGAGCTTCGGCAGAAGACAACTAGTCTAGAGCAGACTCCTTCCATATATTTGTACCAGGTTAAACTTGGCTGACCCCTGGTCTTTCTGCCGGTCAGTTTCGCAAGAAATAGTTGCTTAGCCTTTCTGAAGGCATTCGCAACACATGCTCAAAACATCGCAGCTGTGACTTCTCAATCTGGAGAAGCAAAGGCCTTAATCCAAGGCTGTTCCGGATGTCACTATTCCGAACCATGTGGAGACGCGTAAGGCCAGCGACTCGTCTAAGAAAGTCCATTTCAGCAGCTTGTACCCGGGTTCGAAGTTTTCAGTGATGATCCACGATTCATGACCGTAGGTATATATGGGGTTAAAGGAATATCGAGAGCATAGTTTTTAGACTGAGCTCTGCTTGAGTCACAATGGGTCTGGCTAGTTCACCCAGAATGCCACAGGCTACTTCACTTCGCAGGTCCATCTCTTCCTAAAATTTTTTGATCACCAGTGATTGAGGCCTCGAGATGCATGAGCTTCTCCATTTTCTCCACTGCTTTTCCGTTAATCTGAAGGGAACAACGTGCAGGAGAACGGGAAAGCACTAGGCTTTTCGTTTTAGATGCGTTCACACGTATTCCAGCCACTTCGCACTCGGCTACGAATCTTCTAATGAGCGCGTACACCGCTTTCAGAAGATGCCAATAAAGTAAGGTCGTCTGCAAAGAGTAACCTTCTCGTCTACACATCTCCTACATCGATACACTCACCGCTATGGCTGCTCCTGATTATTCTTTCCATGTACAGGAGAGGGGACAGGATGCAATCTTGGCGGGGATCAGTGCTAACGTGGAAAGGTTTCGATTTAATGCCATTGACTCTAACGCAGCACCTGCTATCAGAATATAGTATTTGAATGGCCTGTAACAACTAGCCATCGATCCCATAGTTCTCAAGCATGCGCACAGACTGTTGCGCGGGATCCGGTCATAGGCTTTATGTAGTCAACAAAGCACATGTGCACCGGACGGGCGAACTCTCTCATACTTTCTCAACAATCTGTTGTAGAGGGAATATCAGAGATGCTTCGATTAGGCCGGAAGCCACACTGTTCTCCTTGTATCTTAGAGTCAGTTATTCCGCCGCACCTCTTTTATAGCACCCTTGTGTAGACTTTCTACAGAACTCCCTCTTTAAACAAGGTTATCACAACCCCATTCTCCAGTTTTCTGGTGTTTTCCCTCTCTCCAGTGCAGTTTCGCAGAAGCATTAAACCATCAAATTCGTTTTTCGCCTACTGCTTTTAGCATTTCAGAGCGGATTTCATCAGTTCTAATTCTAACAGCTTTTCGGTTTTGAATTTTCTCACAGCTTGTGTTATTTAATCTGCAGAAATAGTAGTAGCCGTTCCCTCTTCTGCCGGCGAGGTTCTGCGGTTGCTGAGGATTAAGGAGTTCCTCAAAGTATTCTTTCCACTGCCGAATAGTGTCCTCATCCTCGGTAAGAGGGTGTCCATGCCTGCCCTTTAAGACTCTTGGAATGGTCATTATTTCACCTTGGAGCCAGCAGATGGTCTGATGGAATATCTTGTTTGCCGTGTGAAAATGCGACATCAGCACCTCAGCATTTCTCCCAGGAATCATTGAGACTGACTTTCGCCTCTGCTTTAGCTGCCGCCTTGCGCGCTCCTACATACCATGTGCGAGTTAAGGCCTTTTTATTCGAAGTAATTTCTTGATTGCAGTCTCATTAACTGCCAGCTGTACTTGTCGTGTCCATCAAGAGGTTTTTTCTGTCCTCCAGGCAGCAGGCTAACCCATCTGAATGCGCAACGTTCAATGGTAGCCCTGAGTGAGCCGCTCTTAAACAGCTTTTACTCAGTTTACACATTAGCGGCAGTTATCACTGAGGTGCAAGTTTCGCTCTCGTATCCATGGAAAGTAAAGTTTTTTATTTAATTCTCTGCCTCTACCACTGGATCTTCCTATGGTACTCTGTTTATTACAGCACAGCGTGCCAACAACAAGGTGATGATCGGTTGATAACTCTGCGTCTCTTTTAACATGAACATCCATTACTGAGCGTCTTAGGTCAGACGATACGATTATCAAATCGATCATCGA